CCCCAAAACCCCAAAACCCCAAAACCCCAAAACCCCAGCATTTTCAATTTTATTGAAAGTATGAAAAATTGATAATAAATGGCTCTAAACTCATTTATTTCCAGCAACAGTCAAGCTCTTTAGAAAATTTACACACTATCCTTATCTTAAATATAAAATCTTTGCTAAAATTGTGAAGCGAGAGTTATACTTTATTAAGTATGCCAGATTCTCGTTTATCCCTAAGTTTGTCCTTCCAGCTAATGGATGTATGAACTCAAAAAAGAATGAACAGTTTAGGATCTAAACTAACATTTTAAACAGTAAAGCAAACTATTTATTTGCAATTAGGCTTTCGTATCACTTTTCTTTCCTAAATTTTGATAAACAGTCCTGATATTCCTGATCATATTTGAAGGAGGAGTCATGGGCTTACTCTCCAGCATTTTTAAGGAGATATCTGTATCACTTAATATCGTGTTCCCTACACCTAAATCCTTGAAAATTACCTTCAAACACAAATTTCTTATTCTTAAACCTAAACCCATCTCTTGTATGAGGCTTGACACTATGACCTCTCGACCTAGGATTGGCTCTTGAGAACACCTGACGTCTTTTAACTTCAGGTTGAAGAGTTGCTTTTGACATAATATTGAACTTATTAAGGTCCTTATCAAACTTATTCCTGATTTCATAGGGTTCATAATTCATCAACTTGGAAAGGTCCTTTAATTTCTTGGGATCTTTAATAACTGTTTTGGCTACTGATTAAGACAGTAACTTACCATAGACAAGTTCCTTCTTGAGTACTTGGATATAATTCTTGAGACGCTCGTTAATGTTCTACAGCATAGCTTGGAACCTTACCTTGAGAAGTTTAAGCTCTGCACTAGTGTACTTATTTGTACCCTATGGTAAGTCTTACATTCAAAGGTAGGAATAGATTAAGTAATTTTGGGTCATAAATATGAAGGCGCGGATAAGAATTACTGGAGTATTTATCAGCATCTTCAGTCATTTTAGTCTTAATTTTAAGTAACTGGGTATCATATTCTTTATTTATGTCTCTGAGTAGTCTATATAAAGTGTTGCTTGTCATAGAATTTAGATTTACAGAACTCTCCTCTCATTTGCTAAGAGTTTGTTACAAATCGGGTAAAAACCTTTGATGAGTTTTATGAAATTCAGGAGATTAATACAAGCGGCTATGAACTTTAAGATTAAGTTTAGACAATTTTGGTATTCCAGAAAGATCATGTCAACATGAATTTTGATATTTTAGATCTTTGTAGAGTTTAATTTATTTAAAAGTTATAATTATAGTCTTCTTTAAAAAACAAGAGTTTAAATATAATCTTATATACTCTACCCAAAGTTTTCTAGTCTAAATTACTCTTCTATCTCAATTTTGGAAGGCAAATAGATATAATTTCCTCATAACAAACTGTGAGTAATTAGAATAATGACTTTCCTTAATAAACTCTCCTTTTTCAATGGCAGCTAGATCTCTAATTTCCTTTATCATATCAATTTGCTTATCAATCTCCACGAGATGATTCTTATTGATATCTAGATTTTAGACATAATTCTTACCTTTAAGAGTTGAAATATCATGCTTCAAGAAAATATTTTCTTTTCTGTAGTTCTTAATAATCGCATTCTCAAAGTCTTCTGCTGCCTGAGACTTGTACATATTGGTATATCTCTCTTCTACCTAAAAAGTATGGCAATGAGAATACCTCTCTCATGATCTGATCTGAGAAATCCTCTCTTAGTTGCAATTTAGCATTTCCATAAGCTGCTAGGTTAGCTCTATCCGAAAGCGTATCATTAGCAGTTAGAGAATTCATCCTTGGGATATTTGCACCAGCTTTCGGTGACATTGGTTTAGATCTCCTTAATGCAGCTGCAAGGGAGTTAAATGACAATTTGGGAACAATGGCATTCTTGTACTCTATCATATACCTCTCTTGCTTGGCTAGAATGTTGATCAACTTCTTGATCATATTGTCCTTTGAAATAGTGCTCATTCGCATATTGAAAAACTGGGACTTAAATTTCCTTGACCTCTTCTTCAAAAATGACCAAATTTTCCTTCATTATATTGTCATATTTCTCTTTAAGCTATTTTGAGTAGATATAATGGAACTACCTTGGCCTCTACATTATTTCTGAAATGTTCTAACTTCATAATTCTTAGCTTGTCTTGTCTTCGAATCCTTGCTCTCCAAATATTTATTCCTGTCCTTCAGCCTGCTCACCCTAATATTGAGCTGACTGATGATCTGTTCTAACTTCATAATCTTCAAAGCTTGAGTCCTGTTTTCATCATGAAGTGCTTTGGAGGATTTATCAAGATATCTAGAGAGGTCAAAGCCAAGTGTACTGATTTAAATTTTGATTTTCCTTATCAATTTTATTCTCAGACTTATTCCTGGGCTTTTTGACTGCTGAAATAGACACCTCGCTGGCTGAAGAGAGGTCCTCATCCTTGTCCGCCCTGAAGACCTTCTCTGGGAGAGTTCCTTTCTTAGGTAATTTAGTTGGTGAGTCATCTTGTGAAAGACTCTAAAAAGTCAGCAAATTATTAATCTAAGCCTACAAGATTCTTAGGAATATGGTCCTTGATTAACTTCTTTAGGTCTAGAGGGGAATTCAAAAACTCAGGCTTCTGAACAGTCTGATATTGCTTAAGTAATTTAATGGTGAGGTCTCCATGCTGCCTCATTTCCTTCTCTAGTTCTTCCATTTCTAGTCGAGATAATTTAAAATTTAAGTTTTAATTGGGTTTCAGGGGTTTTGGGGTTTTGGGGTTTTGGGGTTTTGGGG